CAAAAATCTTTTCTACCTTATAGCCTCCCACGCAAACGTTCTTAGGGGTTCGTCACGCGTTGCTACCCCACGAACGTTCGTGGGGGAGGAAAGATTGCGTGACGAACCCGTAAGAACGTCTGCGTGGGAGGCTATTCGACCTCATTGAATGCAAAAATTGCGGCACTGCCGCAATTTTTGCATTCAATTTAGTCCCCCCAATGTACTGGAGCCCATTGGGGAGGCCAAGCGCCATCTCCACCAACATCGGGGAGCATCGCCGCTCCATTCTCAACTATGAATACTTCCCTAATCCTACTCTTGTCTCCGAACATTTTAATCAAGCCGATCACTCTATCAACGACGTCCTTCATTATTCCCTTACAACTAATCCGTAGCAACCGTGACTCTGTCAGAACGGCACGCGAGGCTCACCTCATTGACAAAGCTATGACTGTAGAACCTCATGGTATAAATAGACGTGATGAACAATAGTGACATTTATCTCTTTAGTAGCCTATTATTTCCTGTTTGCTACACTGGACGAAAAAATGGATTTACTAGGGTAGCCAAATTACAGCAAATGTGTAGCAAATACCACATTTGCACAATTTTGCGCAAGAGCAAAGACTGATATTGCACTAGATTTGCTATCCGTAGCAATGACGGTAAATGCCACATTTGCACAACATTTACATCTTGGTGCAAAGATAATGGGCAGCCATGGATTTGAGGGTCATTTGCAGATGGTTCAAATGTGTAGGCAAATATGTTTGTTTGAACTATATTTGCACATTACGCAAATGATAGCGCAAATCTGCTGTTTTGCACGGCTTTTTCTTTAGATGTAAAAGCATGTAAACCTGTTATTTTCAGAACGTTTACGCAGCTTTGCAAATGTGAGCGAAGTATCTAATTTGAACAATGTTTGCTTGGGTTATCGTGGGTGATCAAATTTTCATAATTGAACCAGATTGCTTTGCATGGCAAATGTAACCAAACTCTTTGTATTAAACATGTGTGCTCACGAAGCAAATGTTAGCAAACCTAAACTTTGAACAAATTTTCTAGGGTGTGCAAATTTGATCAAACACAAAATTTTGCTTGTAGCGGCAAATGTGGTCAAAAGTCAAGTTTTGAACAAAGTTGCTTGGGCAGCAAATCTGATCAAACTGTTAGTATTGTACAATTTTTCGCTCAGGTAGCAAATGTAATCAAATTCTGACTTTAATTTGGTTAGCAAATGTCATCAAACCCATAAAATTGAGCATGTTTTCTCCAGTAGCAAATGCGATAAAATTTTAAAAATATTTTTAATTATAATATGGCTCACTTCAGGTTCTTAACAAGTGACCATAATTAATCAAACATTAAAGTTACTGAAAGAAATTCTAGCAGTGACCTCGCCCCATTAATGTTCAAATGATTTATTCCATAAACCAAAGTGGCTTACACATTATTACAGACATTACAAACTACAGTATAGAGCTGTACATACAGCTCTTCATATTAATTCCCAATTTTACTGTTCGTTGATGTTTACTTGTCTCCACTCTATGCTCTATCAGATCATTACTAACTATTAATATTATAAGAAAAGTGTTCTTCATCTAAATGTGTAAGATATTCTACATACAGCTGTAGGTGTTTCAGAGTTGCCTCAAACCTATTTCAGTTCTTTAGGTTTTTGCAACTCAGAAACAGGTTAAAAATCCGTTCACCCTTGGACCAATATTTACTTATGACAAGACTATTTCTTACTTAAACTTTTGCATCTAAGGACCAAATCCTGTTTCAACTAAATGGAACCCTCAAGACACCCATTTTAATAAATAATTAGTATTTTTGTATTTATTGCTATTTACAGATTAAACAAAATTTGATTCTGGTGGCATTTTTTTCTTTAGGCTCTATTAGCATGAAAGGCCTAATTCTTGCTACCAGTTTACAATTTTTGCTGGTATAACAACTGGGTTATAGCATTTAGCAAACTAAGAAATAGTTTAGGTACACATAGCTATTCAAATTCAGATCAGACTTCTTTAACTTCATTTTCGTTGCTAATGGTTCCTGTATAGTATTATATGCTCTTAGAGGAAGTACCAGCCGGAGCTTCTAGTACTTGCCCCGTTCTAAGAAAATTGAGGGTCATGAAAGTAATGACCAGCTATAAGTATTCCATAGCATGTCAACATTACCATTGTCACTGTAGTTGGTCCCAATGAAAGAAGCTAATAATTATTTTAAACTCAGTATACATGTACATGTAGTACAAAAGGTTGATCTGGCTAGCCTGCAAAATAACTACACTGCTGTCTCTCATTACTCTTTTTCTTGAGTCATGTTGCAATCCTTTGCAAAATTCCGTAACAAATCATGACAAAAAGCAGGGTGTACCTAAATTTGTTTTGTTTTTTTTGTTCAAGCAGGTCAGTTGCAATTGCTGTAATTGGTACAAATGTACTGTGAAGTGGTGCCAGCAGAACTCAAATACCTGCAGTTAAGCAAACAGATTTAAAAGAAACATTTGTACATTAATTGGCCTTTTTAACCTGCTGACTGGTACATTACTTGCAAACAATAGCCAAAGGATTCTAATGAAAAATTTATCACATCAACCAATTTGATCTACCTGCCACCAGAATTCTCAGGACAAATCAACATCATCAGGATTTATACTGTTTACACAGATTTATCTTTTTCTAAAAAACAGTGTCATAAACAGAGAGTGATTAAAGGATCACTGTATTTGCAGAGCTACATGTACATGTACCTGTAAGTATGACCAGTCATAAATAATCTGGAATTTCTTTAAGAGCCTTGGATTAACTTATATTTCCTTATCACAAAGCAAATTCAGGAGGATTATCTGGTGCCTCCTGCTCTGAGGAGAAGCCATTCATCCTTTCTATTGTCATTGAGTAATGACAAGCTTACATGTGACTGTTTTAATTTTGCTTTACTGTTCAGCTTGGCAAAGAGGTTTTTACAGGCTAAGTTGTTGACTCCTCCATGCTAGAGGCCTCCTGCAAAGCACTTTTCTCGGATTTGTCATCTCCTTGGTCTGTATTGCCTTGCTCTGAAGACATGTACTCCACAATTATACAAGCTTTGAACTTACAACAATCCTTCTTCGAAATAGAAGTTGACTGGAAAAGGGTTGTCTCTTCAGCTTTTTCTGCAACAAACAGAAATTATACATAATTGAGACCATTAATATTGAAACTAAAGCTGTAGATGCTTGTCATGAAAAATACTATTGTCCTTTTCTGTCTAAATATTCTAGCCCTTTATAGCAAAAAAGGTTGCTATTAGATATTACATGTATTATTACTGGCTGCAGTCACACTAGGTGACTAAACTTACTTATTTCCTGAGTTAACTGATATCAAAATTAACTAGTTTAAACAAATTGCTGGCTCGTAACTTTCATGTCTCAAATCTAACCCCAAGCGGTCATCATAATCCTGATTACACTGTACCTGTTAAAACTAAGACCTTCTTTGAGCAAAAACAAAACGAAAAAATGAATGCGAGAAACCCTTTTGTAACAAGACAATTGACTCCAGGTAAATCATTGTATTAATTTTATAGTGAGTGTCCCACTACATCACTACCATAACAACATTATTGACATATTACTTAAAACTTCATGAACCTGCTTCTTCTGCAATATTGCCATCACTTACAGTGTATCTTGGGAACAAAAGTTTAATTATACTATAATTGCCTCATATGAGGGAACCCAAGACAGTTTTAGATTCTGGATTCCACGCTGCGGATTCCGGAACCTTTTTCAGTGGATTACTTGGTTTCTGGATTCCAATCGTTTGACTTGTATTTCAGGTTTCAAAGCTCAGAATTTAGGATTCCGCAACAAAAATTGCCCGAATTCTGGATTCCATAAGCAAAAATTTCCCGGATTCCAGAATCCCTTACATGGGATGATCATAAAAAACAATCAGTGAAAGCAGGGTACCATGATCTAAATTCTAGCTACACTATGTTTTCAGCACCATGGCAGTCACTGCCTTTACTCCCCTTTTAAATTTTGGAAAAGCCTTTGGAGAAAGTAGGCACTAGAGGATAAGGTTAATTTTGGCCTAATAGAGGGGAATTAACACTTGCTTTAATTCTTATTAAATTTTCCAAGACCATTTATCTGAAGAGAACAACCAAACAAAAGATTACAGTATTTTTTACAACAACAGGACAAATAAAGTTTCAGGAGTAGGGGTGGTCCTTGTTGATTACTGAATATTGGAATGCAAATGTAGGTATTATCAAATAGCATCATTAATGGCTTAACAGTAACAACGAACTTTCTTATACTTACCGAGCATTTCTTTTACTCCCGATTAGTTGCTCCCTCGGCATTTGTTTGTCCTCAACATTTCTCCTGTCTCTTCTTAGTTTTACAATGTCTGCTAATTAAAACAGCATCGATTCACCGAAGTCTATTTACTAAGTACTAACGGCTGCTTTTCTTGGATCCACTCGTTACTACTTGATCGTCGCCGATGGAGCTATCTAGATGTCTTTCATGGTGGATTTTCGTCGAAGGATCTATAAGTATGCAGTTCCCTCGAGTTCGAGCGATTATTTTTATAAGTTCTTCGAGGACACATTCGTTCGATAAATTCGAACAAATAAGACTGGCCGATTCCTCCATACTCGACAGTCAACCCCACAAAGAAGGAAAATTCGAAACCTCTTGATAAATATGGCGTTAAACTGGCGTTAAATGTACGAAGTAAAAGCTGATGGCAAATCGATGGCAGTGGAACGTGTTAACGGTCGACGAATTTCAATTGTTGTGCCTCGTTCTCGAACGGTTAGGTAGGTACTTTAAGTAGGGTTATTAAAGTGTATCAAGAATGCATTTAAAATAATGTATCGACATGTATACCCATGTAATGTCATGTATAGCCATGTATAGCCATGTATTGCCATGTATAGCCATGTATTGCCATGTATACCCATGTATAGCCATGTATACCCATGTATAGCCATGTATTGCCATGTATTACCATGTATTGCCATGTATTACCATGTATCACCATGTATTACCATGTATAGCCATGTATAGCCATGTATTGGCATGTATAGCCATGTATTGCCATGTATACCCATGTATAGCCATGTATTGCCATGTATTACCATGTATCACCATGTATTACCATGTATAGCCATGTATTGCCATGTATAGCCATGTATTGCCATGTATAGCCATGTATTGCCATGTATAGCCATGTATTGCCAAGTATACCCATGTATAGCCATGTATACCCTTGTATAGCCATGTATTGCCATGTATTACCATGTATAGCCATGTATTACCATGTATCACCATGTATTACCATGTACAGCCATGTATAGCCATGTATAGCCATGTATTGCCATGTATTGCCATGTATTGCCATGTATACCCATGTATAGCCATGTATACCCATGTATAGCCATGTATTGCCATGTATTACCATGTATTGCCATGTATTACCATGTATCACCATGTATTACCATGTATAGCCATGTATAGCCATGTAATGCCATGTATAGCCATGTATTGCCATGTATTGCCATGTATAGCCATGTATTGCCAGTATACCCATGTATAGCCATGTATTGCCATGTATTACCATGTATCACCATGCATTACCATGTATAGCCATGTATAGCCATGTATTGCCATGTATAGCCATGTATTGCCATGTATTGCCATGTATAGCCATGTATTGCCATGTATAGCCATGTATTGCCATGTATACCCATGTATTACCATGTATAGCCATGTATAGCCATGTATTGCCATGTATAGCCATGTATTGCCATGTATTACCATGTATTACCATGTATTACCATGTATAGCCATGTATAGCTATGTATTGCCATGTATTGCCATGTATTGCCATGTATACCCATGTATAGCCATGTATACCCATGTATAGCCATGTATTGCCATGTATTACCATGTATAGCCATGTATTACCATGTATCACCATGTATTACCATGTATAGCCATGTATAGCTATGTATTGCCATGTATTGCCATGTATTGCCATGTATACCCATGTATAGCCATGTATAGCCATGTATTGCCATGTATTACCATGTATCACCATGTATTACCATGTATAGCCATGTATAGCCATGTATAGCCATGTATTGCCATGTATAGCCATGTATTGCCATGTGTTGCCATGTATAGCCATGTATACCCATGTATAGCCATGTATTGCCATGTATTACCATGTATCACCATGCATTACCATGTATAGCCATGTATAGCCATGTATTGCCATGTATTGCCATGTATAGCCATGTATAGCCATGTATAGCCATGTATTGCCATGTATTACCATGTATCACCATGTATTACCATGTATAGCCATGTATTGCCATGTATAGCCATGTATTGCCATGTATTGCCATGTATAGCCATGTATTGCCATGTATACCCATGTATAGCCATGTATACCCATGTATAGCCATGTATTGCCATGTATAGCCATGTATTGCCATGTATTACCATGTATCACCATGTATTACCATGTATAGCCATGTATAGCTATGTATTGCCATGTATTGCCATGTATTGCCATGTATACCCATGTATAGCCATGTATACCCATGTATAGCCATGTATTGCCATGTATTACCATGTATAGCCATGTATTACCATGTATCACCATGTATTACCATGTATAGCCATGTATAGCTATGTATTGCCATGTATTGCCATGTATTGCCATGTATACCCATGTATAGCCATGTATAGCCATGTATTGCCATGTATTACCATGTATCACCATGTATTACCATGTATAGCCATGTATAGCCATGTATAGCCATGTATTGCCATGTATAGCCATGTATTGCCATGTATTGCCATGTATAGCCATGTATACCCATGTATAGCCATGTATTGCCATGTATTACCATGTATCACCATGTATTACCATGTATAGCCATGTATAGCCATGTATTGCCATGTATTGCCATGTATAGCCATGTATAGCCATGTATAGCCATGTATTGCCATGTATTACCATGTATCACCATGTATTACCATGTATAGCCATGTATTGCCATGTATAGCCATGTATTGCCATGTATTGCCATGTATAGCCATGTATTGCCATGTATACCCATGTATAGCCATGTATACCCATGTATAGCCATGTATTGCCATGTATTACCATGTATTACCATGTATACCCATGTATAGCCATGTATACCCATGTATAGCCATGTATTGCCATGTATTACCATGTATTGCCATATATTACCATGTATAGCCATTTATAGCCATGTACTGCCATGTATAGCCATGTATTACCAGGTATAGCCATGTATTGCCATGTATACCCATGTATAGCCATGTATACCCATGTATAGCCATGTATTGCCATGTATTATCATGTATTGCCATGTATTACCATGTATCACCATGTATTACCATGTATAGCCATTTATAGCCATGTATAGCCATGTACAGCCATGTATAGCCATGTATTACCATGTATCACCATGTATTACCATGTATAGCCATGTATAGCCATGTATTGCCATGTATTGCCATGTATTGCCATGTATACCCATGTATAGCCATGTATACCCATGTATAGCCATGTATTGCCATGTATTACCATGTACTACCATGTATTACCATGTATCACCATGTATTACAATGTATAGCCATGTATAGCCATGTATTGCCATGTATAGCCATGTATTGCCATGTATTGCCATGTATAGCCATGTATTGCCATGTATACCCATGTATAGCCATGTATACCCATGTATAGCCATGTATTGCCATGTATACCCATGTATAGCCATGTATACCCATGTATTGCCATGTATTGCCATGTATTACCATGTATAGCCATGTATAGCCATGTATAGCCATGTATATCCATGTATAGCCATGTATTGCCATGTATTACCATGTATTGCCATGTATTACCATGTATCACCATGTATTACCATGTATAGCCATGTATTGCCATGTATAGCCATGTATTGCCATGTATACCCATGTATACCCATGTACTGCCATGTATACCCATGTATAGCCATGTATACCCATGTATAGCCATGTATACCCATGTGTAGCCATGTATTACCATGTATTGCCATGTATTGCCATGTATTGCCATATATTACCATGTATAGCCATTTATAGCCATGTACTGCCATGTATAGCCATGTATTACCAGGTATAGCCATTTATAGCCATGTACTGCCATGTATAGCCATGTATTACCAGGTATAGCCATGTATACCCATGTATACCCATGTATAGCCATGTATAGCCATGTAATGCCATGTATTGCCATGTATACCCATGTATAGCCATGTATACGTATGTATAGCTATGTATACCCATTTATAGCCATGTATTGCCATGTATAGCCATGTATTGCCATGTATTACCATGTATTGCCATGTATTACCATGTATTGCCATATATTACAATGTATAGCCATGTAATGCCATGTATTGCCATGTATACCCATGTATAGCCATGTATTACCAGCTATAGCCATGTATTGCCATGTATACCCATGTATAGCCATGTATACCCATGTATAGCCATGTATTGCCATGTATAGCCATGTATTGCCATGCATTACCATGTATAGCCATGTATAGCCATGTAATGTTATGTATAGCCATGTATTACCATGTATATCCAGGTATTGCCATGTACTGCCATGTTTTACCGTGTACTGCCATGTATTACCATGTATACCCATGTATTGTCATGTATACCCATGTATTGCCGTGTATTACTATGTATAGCCATGTATACCCATGTATAGCCATGTATTGCCATGTATAGCCATGTATAGCCATGTATACCTATGTAATGCCATGTATTGCCATGTATTACCATGTATAGGCATGTATTGCCATGTATTACCATGTATTGCCATGTATAGGCATGTATTGCCATGTATTACCATGTATTGCCGTGTATTACCATGTATCGCCATGTATTACCATGTATAGCCATGTATAGCCATGTATACCCATGTAATGCTATGTATTGCCATGTATTACCATGTATAGCCATATATAGCCATGTATTGCCATGTATTACCATGTATATTGCCATGTATTACCATGTATAGCCATGCATTACCATGTATACCCATGTATTGCCATGTATTACCATGTATAGCCATGAATACCCATGTAATGCGATGTATTGCCATGTATTACCATGTATAGCCATTTATTGCCATGTATTACCATGTATCGCCATGTATTACCATGTGATGCCATGTATCGCTATGTATTACCATGTATTACTTTGTATTACCATGTTTTGCCATGTATTACTATGTATTACGATGCATTACTATGTTTTGCTATGTATAGCGATGTATTGCCATATACTGCCATGTATAGCCGTGTACTGTCATGTACAGCCATGTACTCCCATGTATTACATGTATTGACATGTACTGCGTGTATAGCCATGTATTGCTATGTAGTGCTATTAATTACTCTGTATTGCTATGTATTGCCATGTGTGGCCATGTATTTACTATGTATGTCTTAAGTTGGATTAAATTCTTTTTTTTGTCTGTTACATAGTTCAGGGGTAGCCCAAGAAAAGGCTTTTTTCCGAATGAAAATATAGTTTTTTGGGGAGGGCAACGTTCTTTCAGGATTGTAAGCGGATACTAGTTGACAAAGATATTCAAGTGCCATTCGTCACTTTAGAAAATACCCTCGTTGAAAGTCAGTTAAGAACTTATTGGTCCCGAAGAGCAGGGATTTCGCCAATAAGGCGAAATTCCGAGGAAGCACTCTATTAGCTCGCCCGTTTATTACGGAAAGTACTTACAGTTGTTATTTATAGTCAGTATACCAGAAAAAAATATCGATTTCTTTTATAGATAGGGGCCGCAAGGGATAGGGGGTTAACGTTTTCTTTTGTTCGCGCCCGTAGTTAAGACAGAAAATCCCGAAGGACCGCAAATTGGTAGTTTTTTTGGTCATATTTCGTTTACCTTTTGCGTTACGCGTTATCAGTGACATTTTGTGGAGGAGCTGTTTTCAAAGTTTCGCTCGTTAAGCGCAGTTGAAGTTATAAGTTTCGTATAATTGTGTGTATATAAACTTTTGAAGAGTTTGCCAGACATGAGTTCACATATATATTTGATTGGAAACAATTTGCTAGAAACTCTTTCTCTCCCTTTGAATTCATGCAAACATTAAATTTAATGACAACTGAGTTGCAATATTTGACAGTCGAAAGATCCAACAGTTATCACTTTAAAAAAAATCTTATCCTTTCTTTCAAGTCTTCTCCTCATGGCTGAGAATAATTGGACAGGTTTGTAGGCGCCCAGCTTCACGAGCTAGATCTACCACCCTTTCAAAATAGGGTACGTCGGTGTAGTTTCGGGTGTAGCCGAATTACATGCAGGAGTAGTCAATATAGATAATATCGGTATCGATGAAAATCGTTAGCAATCAAGTCATTTTTTTGATTGATAACACAAAAAGATGAAAAAGTATCTAAGGAAAATCTGTTAGCCTGAATTTCAGACATCCCTTCGAGACGAAGGGATGTCTGAAATGCGAGAACTGAATGTATTTAACCTGAGCTGTTTTTGTTCAACATGAAGGGTTTTAGACAAAATTTTGTGTGTGTAATAGTTTCCACATTTCCCATTTTCCGTTTGTTTATCAGTAGTTACTCGTGGATATGTTTTCTTAGCTGTACTATCTAGCTTAAGCCACGAAACAACCATGATGGACTTACGTTATCAATCGTGAAAATCATGAAAAATCGTCAATATCGATTTGACACAGCAATTTATGTTATCGATTTTCACCGATTCCAGTTATCAATTGGAATTTAATCACTTGATTGCTACCGATTTTTATCGATTGACTGGCTCTTGAATACCAGCAAGAAAAGGAAAATAAGGGATATTTAAAAAATAGCAAAACGTATATTAATGAAAAAGGTACAAAATTGCTTTAACCTGTTCTACCAAATGGAAGCGAAAGAATCACTTCGGTTAAACTATGATATTCAATGGATATCTCGCATGCGTAATTTATAATTTGAAAAGAATAAATCCCTTTTTAGGCTTCCCTCAGAAATGAATCTAAAGAAACACAATTGTTTCACCATTTTCGTCCAAAAAAAAATAAATCAAACGATCCTTTGCATTTAAAAGAACTGATTTACTTGACATACAGTATGTTGCCCAGTATCTGGACACTTCAGTTTAAAATTGCAATAACTTTCCTTTGTTAATCGCAAGAGCTCTGAAATTTGGCCCAGAGAAAATCTATCGAGTCCTTAATATGACGAAAGACAGTTTAACTTTTTTGCCTTTGTTTCCATCGCGAAATTAATATTTTTGCAGAGCTCCTATGTTGCCCAGTATCCGGACAGCTGGCCCAGTATCCGGACACAACAATAACAACGTAATTGTACATAAATTTCGACAGGGAAGCGACTTATAAGCTTCTCTTGCACTTGCAAAGTAGTCTGGCAATCGATTCCGAAAATATAACCTAGCATCGTGAAATAAAACATAACAAATGACTGGGGTATGGTGGGGAACGCGAGCGGCTGTTTTAAAAATGGTATAATTCTCACTTCTTTGTATTGGAACTTTTTCACTGATTTAAGGAAGGCATCCGTAGACATGCCGAAGCCGCAGTTTGCAAGCTCAATTAACCAATCTGCAAACGACTTTCTTTCTTCATTTTTTATGTAAAGAAAAGCTTGAGGAAGGGACCTCAACCCGACGGTCAAAGGTCACTCTCCTATTTAGTCTGACCTGTAGTGTTGATTTCTTCATGCTCAGTCCCCACAATGAGCCTGCTTTTCTAGCACTAATTCCTCCTTCTTTCACATCTCTCAATCCCTTTGTGACATTTTTTAGACCATTGCAACCCCATTCTAGCAGTCCCAACTGGGGAAAGTATGAGAATTCCAGGTTCAACTCAGACGCTTTCAGTTATATATACAAAATGCAGTCACGCGAAACAAGCCGTGCACACGAAATCAAGTCGACTCTGAATGAGTGAAGAAAATTTCCGTACGGAGTTGAGTAGAGTTACATTTTACGACTATATCATATATCCTAAGCTTTAATTATAGTTACAGATATGAAATAAATCTTATCCGGAGAATGTACACAGCTAATTCATCGATTCTGTACAGCAAAGAAAAAACTGTCCAGATACTGGGCACATGACATCAAAACTTAGTGAATGTTTCTGGCTTCCGTTATTCCAAACAAATCGAATTTCAAGAAGAATTAATAAACTTTCTGAAAACCTGACTTCCTTAAGTATCTTCACTTTAAAAATAAAACAGTTTCTTTGAAAATATCACACATTACCCTCCCTTTTCTGAGCAGCACTAACTTTACTGCGCAGTAAACAGCGTAAATATTAGCCATGAAAACTTTACTCATCTGAACAGAACGGCGTCTTCTGCGACAGTTTCGCAAGCTTTCAAATTGCCAAAACTTTCATGTTAAAGCTGAAATGTTCAGCTTTCATTCGAGATACTTTGTTTACCGATAACTGAAAAGGACGCGTCAAAAATTGAGTTCTTGTTTCAAGTGTCCGGATACTGGTACCGTCCGGATACTGGGCAACATACTGTACCAAATAAACACACATGTTTGATTGAATTTTTTTCTTTGTTTGTTTTTTATTCCTTCCCATGCATATTTATTAACAGTGTTTAATTGAAGTTTTCTAGTAATATTTTCGTTATCATTTTATACCAACAAAGAACACTGAAAGACCGCTATATATGTCTTCATAATAAATGGTACTAAATGGTACTTGACATTAAATCTAACACTTCCCTCTCCAAGCCTAAGTCTGCGAATACAACCGTTTCCTTGCTCCTCGCCGCTATAGAGCGGCGTTTCGAAACGTTAGTAGTGGCGATGAGCGAAGAAAGACGGCTGTATTCGCAGGCTAGTCAAAACCATTTGAGTAACTTGCCGGGTACTGTAAGTTGTTTGGTGCTCTCTGACACAAAGTAACTTAACACTAAATCTGCCTTTCAGTAACTAATACCTGTCTTGGGCATCTTTTCTCGTCTTTATTGTGTCATCTAAAAATGCAAAATGTGTCTTTCAATCGAACAAAACACATAAAACCCAAGATCTCTCTGCAAAACAGAGGCAACTGCTATCATTCGTTCAATAGGATATATACTAGACTACATACTTGACGCAAAAAAGAAACTTAACACTAAATCCGCCTTTTAGCAAATGATATTGTTTCAACTTATTTAATATCGTCCCCAAATCGTCTACGTCTCTACTATCCACGAAAACCGAAGTACATATCCAATGTTCGTTGATCCGTTACGTAATATTTTGCGTAACCTTCTTGGTCTATGTACTCTTCTAAAGCTTTCGTGATCTGATCTAGCTCTAGGTCATCCAAATCACCCTCCAATCCTGAAAATAGGATTTCCTATAGTCTCAAGCTAGCAAAATCCCGTAAAATTCAGAAAAGAAGACAAGAAAACATCCATTCAGAACCTCTTTATTTAAAAAGATTTATAACAATTTTAAAGGCATAAAATATATCTAAAAATTCAGGACAACTAAGCCGGCAAAAATTTCATGACTGACTCGCCGTAAATTCACAGTATGCAAGATTGCAAAAATAAATCTGAAATCTGAAAATAGGATTTCCTATAGTCTCAAGCTAGCAAAATACCGTAAAATTCAGAAAAGAAGACCCTCAATTTATAAACCCATCCTATTTTTAATGGCATTACATGGTAATGCATGGCAATACATGACAATACATGGCAGTACATGGGGATACATGGCAATACATGGTAATAGATGGCGATACATGGCAGTAATTGGCTATACATGGCAATAAATGGAAAGACAAGGCAATACATGGCTATATACAAGGCAGTACATGGTTATAAATGGTTATAAATGGCAATACATGGCTAAACATGGTAATACATGGCAATACATGGTAATACATAGTAATACATGGCAATACATGGCATTAAATAACTATGCATGTCATTACATGGCTATACATGGCAATACATGGCAATACATAGTAATACATGGAATCACATGGCTGTACATGGCAATACATGGCTATACATAGTAATACATGGCAATACATGGTAATACATAGTAAAACATGACAATACATGGCTAGACATAACAGTACATGGTAATACATGGCTATACATGGGTATACATGGCAACACATGGCTATACATGGCAATACATGGCTATATATGGCTATACATGGTAATACATGGTGATACATGGTAATACATCGCTATACATGGCTATACACGGCTATACATGGCTATACATGGCTATACATGGCAATACATGGTGATATATGGTAATACATGGCTATACATGACATTACATGGCTATACATGGCTATACATTGCTATACATGGCTATACATTGCTATACATGGTAATACATGGTGATACATGGTAATACATGGCTATACATGGCTATACATGGCTATACATGGCTATACATGGTAATACATGGTGATACATAATAATACATGGTAATACATGGCAATACATGGTGATACATGGTAATACATAGCTATACATGGCTATACATGGTAATACATGGCTGAACATGGTAATACATGGCTATACATGGTAATACATGGCTATACATGGCTATACACGGGTATACATGGCAATACATGGCTATACATGGCAAAACATGGCTATACATGGGTATACATGGCTATACATGGCTATACATGGCTATACATGGCAAAACATGGCTATACATGGGTATACATGGCTATACATGGGTATACATGGCAATACATGGCATTACATGGGTATACATAGCTATACATAGGTATACATGGCTATACATGGGTATACATGGCAATACATGCCATTACATGGGTATACATAGCTATACATAGGTATACATGGCTATACATGGGTATACATGGCAATACATGGCTATACATTGCTATACATGGTAATACATGGTAATACATGGCTATACATGGCTATACATGGCTATACATGACATTACATGGCTATACATGGCTATACATTGCTATACATGGTAATACATGGTGATACATGGTAATACATGGCTATAAATGGCTATACATGGCTATACATGGCTATACATGGCTATACATGGTAATACATGGTGATACATAATAATACATGGTAATACATGGCTATACATGGCTATACATGGTAATACATGGCTGTACATGGTAATACATGGCTATACATGGCTATACATGGGTATACATGGCAATACATGGCTATACATGGCAATACATGGCTATACAT